CTCCTCTGGCCCCACCAGCCCTGTGCTGGTTTCCACCTCTCCACTGTTCCTTCTCCTCTGCCAGCTAATCCTCCTCTATCCTACTGCCAGATACTGCCATTTCCTGGCACCAAGTTTTGTTCTCTTTCTATCCTTGGCCATCTCCCCATTCCTACCACTTACAAATACCATCTTCATGCTAATGACCCACGGATTTATAATGCCTGCCCAAACCTTCCCCTCTGAGGTCCAGATTCACGCAAATACCTACTTGACTCATCTGCGCAGATGTGGCATAGGTGTCTCAAACTTAGTGCATCCCAAACATCCAACAACAAAATATGGTCTAGCCATACAATGAACAAAGTACTGATCTATATGACAGTGAGGGTGAACCTGAGAAATAACATAGCGGAAGAAGCCACGCAAAAGGCCACATATCGTATGATTCCATTCATATTACATGTCCAGAACCCGTGAATCTGTAGAGATGGTAAGTAGATTAGTGGTCGCCTAGGGAAGGGAGTAGCAACAAGGAGGAACTGCAAATGGGCACAGGAATCTTCCTGGGGTAATGGAAACGTGCTAAAATTGAATTACGGCGATGGCTGCACAACTCTGTAAATTTACTAAAAATCACTGACTTGTACACTGAAATCAATGTATAGACTTATGGTCCATAAATTACACCTTGAGGGGGTGTCTGGGGCCTCGGTCGGTTAAGCGTCTACCTTCAGCTGGAGTCATGATCTCAGGGTCCTGGGATGGAGCCCCATGTTGGGCTCCCTGCTCAGTGGGGAGTCTGCTTCTCCTCTCCCCCTGACCCTCCCCCCACTCCGGCTTATGCTCCCTCCCTCTCCCTAATGAATAAATAAGATCTTTTTAAAAAAAAAACTGCACCTCAGTAAAGCTGTTTTTAAAAAATCCCTATACTCTTGATTCTACCTGCTCAGTGCTCCTTCTCCAGTCTTCCTTTCTTCAGGAAGTGGCCCCACCATTCATGGGACCTTTGACATCCCCCTGGACTCTTCCTTCTTTTTTTTTTTTTTTAAGATTTTATTTATTTCTTTGACAGAGAGAGACACAGCTAGAGAGGGAACACAAGCAGGGGGAGTGGGAGAGGGAGAAGCAGGCTTCCCGCGGAGCAGGGAGCCCGATGCAGGGCTCGATCCCAGGACCCTGGGACCACGACCTGAGCCGAAGGCAGTCCCTTAACGACTGAGCCACCCAGGTGCCCCGCTCTACCTTCTCTTACTCACCCAAGTCCTGCTTCTTGTCCTTCCAAAACACCTGTGGACTCGATTGCTCTCCACCTCTGCCACACCACTGCGCAAGCCACCTTTCCCCTATAAGCCTGCAGACACTTCCTCATGGTTCCCCTTCACTCTCACCCCTCTCCAATGGTTTTCACACAGCAGTCCAAGAATCCTCTTAAAACATAAATTACAGCACATCCCCACCATGTTTAAACTCTTCCCATTAAGCTTATAATAATCCAAACTTCCCCACCCCATGGCCTACAAGGGCCTCTCTCTTCAAGGCACTCTGCTTATCCTAAAGCTGACTCTGCCTATCACAGAGCCTTTGCACATGCTGTGGCTCTCTGCAAAAATATACTGTACTTTGTATATGAACATGCACAATAAGATTGCCCACTGATTCTTGGGAAGGCCTCCTTTTCCAAAATACTAGCCTTTACACTTTTTTTTTTTAAAGATTTATTTATTTTTAGAGAGAGACAGAGAGAGCCTGCAAGCAGGGAGAGGGACAGAGGGAGGAGAGAATCCTCAAGCCAACTCTGCACTGAGCGCAGACCCCAATGTGCAGCTCCATCCCAGGACCCTGAGATCATCAGCTGAGCCAAAATTAAGAGTTGGTCGCTTAACCAAATGAGCCACCCAGATGCCCTTTGCCTTCACACTTTTTTTTTTAAAGATTTTATTTATTTATTTGAGAGAGAGAGAATGAGAGCCAGAGAGCACGAGAAGGAAGAGGGTCAGAGGGAGAAGCAGGCTCCCTGCTGAGCAGGGAGCCCCGATGCAGGACTCAATCCCGAGACTCCAGGATCATGACCTGAGCCGAAGGCAGTTGCTTAACCAACTGAGCCACCCAGGCGCCCGCCTTCACACTTTTTAAAAAATATTAAAGGATGGCAAGGAGAGATGGTTGTTTATTTTCCCAAGTAAGACGTTAGTACATCCAAATAGTCCATAACTTTTTTTTTTAAGGAAATTTACAGGTTTGAAATGTAGCATCTCAACCACTGCAAAACTCCATGCATAGTCTTCACCATATTGTGTCTAAGCACTGGACAAAGAAACATGGGGAAAAAAACAGGATTCCACTTTCATAGTTCATAACATAATACAAGAGGAAACACCTAAACACATAATTTCCATTTCAGGTGGCACACACAGTGACAGAAGGTGTCCTGAGTTAACACTGGCACAAGGAAAAGACAGAGGAAGCCCAAGTACCAGCAGAGGAGAGCTCAGAGTCAAAATGTGGGTGGCTAGTTAGTAGGAAGAGAGCCTTGGGGTACTGGGGTGGCTCAGTCCATGGAGCGTCTGCTTCGGCTCAGGTCATGATCCCCGGGGGCCTGGGATGGAGCCCCACATGGGACTCCTAGCTCAGCGGGTCTCCCTCTCCCTCTGCTGCTCTCTCTCTCAAATAAATAAATAAATCTTAAAAAAACAAAAAACAAGGGAGAGCCTTCATCTCCGATAGTTTGTAATTAGGAGCTGGGGTGGCAAAAAGGCACCACCGCTCATGGCAAAGGCAGGTGTTGGCCAGGTAGAGCAGGTAACTGGAGCAGTTCAATGTTATGGTTGGCTACACGAAGAAAGTACTATTCTGTGTAACTAAAAGCACAGATGAGAAGTTTAGAAATAGTCATTCAAACAAGCTCCTTTATTTCAAAATATGGGGCATTCAATACTATGCTACTAGGCAAGTCTGGGTGGGCTTGGTAAATCCATCATTATGCATGCATTTATCTTATGCAGCACACAAGAATCCTATGACATGGGTATTATCTTGAGGCTGCTCAAGAGGAGTATATTGGGAATCGGGCCCCCAGAAAATTACCCAGGGCCCTCAACAACCAACTGGCAGAGTTAGGAATCCAGCTCAGGTTAGCACAATGGCACAGAGCCTTTATTTACTACATTATGCTACAGGTAAATTAACAGTTCAGCCCCTAAATAGCTCTTCTGACAATGATCTTGCAACCTATCCTGAATACCTTTCCTGTGAGAGACTCAGCTCCGGAAAACTGATAAGAGTTCCACAGCCTACTAACAATTACAAACACAAAGAAGTAATCATATAAACAAGTATATCTGACCAGATGTATCTGCCTTAAAGCTAAATATGTAAGAAATTTCTCATCTTATCCATTCTACATTTCTTAGAAAAACAAGTTTAGGCGAAAAATCAACTGCCAGATCAGAACGAAGTCAACTGTAAAGATGTTTACATGAAGGAACATGTGAATTAGATGAAAAGAGTGAAAAATCACAAATAGCCACCCTCTCACGAGCAAGAACATTAGATAATGGCTCTTAGTCGACAGCACAGAAACACTCTTCTGCCATTGGTTTAATCAACTCTGGGGCACATTATTTTGAATTTGGTCTTTCAGAGTGGTAATTAAATTGCAGCGGAAAAAATTTTAAGACTAACGGGAGCAGGCTGGGGGGGGAGGGGAAGGCCTCCATCGCCTTACCAAAAAATCCTACAAAGGTTTCTCCAAATACAGAGCGACTGTCCCAGGTTAGGGAAACACCTGCGGGTAACAGCAGTCGCCCTACGAGTTGCTAAAGGTCCATCCACCCGGCAGCTGGCGGCGATCCTGCAAGACTCCCGGACCGGGCGGGGACAGCGCGCGCACTGCGGCTCCCATCCCTTCTCCAGGGGACAGTCTGGGAGACTCTAAGGTCTTCCCTTAACATAAAAGCCCTCATTTTACGAAGGTTTCGGTCCTTAGCCCTCCGCCGGGACCAGGACCGCACGGCAAACAAAGGCGCGGCTTTCCGTAGTCCGCCGGCCGAGCTGAAGGGAGGGCGGGCGGTGACCCTCCTGACCTCCACCTGCCCGAGGGGAGGCCGCGCGGGGCCGGCGAGGGCTTGGCCTCCCTTCCCTTGCCGCGGGGGGCCGGGGAGCCTGAGGGACCCCGGGCTGCCCCGCGGGGTCCCGGGCCGGGGCCCACGCCCACGCGCGGCCTCTCCGGGGCCGTCCCCGCACTGCAGCAGTGCACGCCGCGGGCCCGGGCCGCGGTCGGGGAGCCCCCCTCGCCCCGGGACCGCCCCCACAGCGCTGCGCGAACCCTGAGCACCCTGGGGAGGACGCCCGCGCCGCCTCGTCGCTCCCGGGCCCGCGGGAGGAGACACCACGGCTGCCCGGGCTTCGCCCAGCGGCCGAGGGCGTGGGGCCGGCTTACCGGCAGCAGCAGCGTCCCTTGTCGGCGGGCGCGCCCACCTGCGGCGCGGAGGAACTGGCCGGGCTGTGGCAGGTAGAGCGAGCGGCCGCTGCAGCTCAGCCAGGAGCCGAGACCGTGGAGGAAGCGCCGCGCCCGAGCACGAGCGGCCGCGGCCCCAGCCGGCGGGGCGGGGCGGGACGGTGAGGAGGGCCCTTGTCAAGGGGGGCGGGGTCAGGGCGGGCCCTCAGCGCGCGGGGCGGAGCAGGGGGCGGGCCCTCGGCGAGCCGGGGCGGGACCAAGCGAGAGCCCACAGTGCGGTTGCAGAACCCGGAGGCGGGCCTTTGACCCGGGGGATGGGATCAGGAGGCGGTACCGCAGCGCGCGGGGGGCGGGTCCTGGGCGTCGGCTCTGGGGCGTGGGGCTCTAATCCCTAGTCCGCCACAGCTTCCGGGCGGTTGGGCGGAGCTCTCAGCCGCCGCGACTAACTGCCGCCTTAGCAGCGGAGCTGCTCGGAGGAAGGCCTGCATAGGTGGGCGGGGTGCCTCCGAGTTTCAGCTGGGGCTCCCCCGGCACACCCAAACGGAAGGGGACAGCGGTCAGTTTATCACCGTGCTCCAGGAGGGGCTTTGGAGTTACGGACGAGAACCGTGGGGCCCAAGAAAAGTGGGGCCGATGGCACATGGCTCACCCCATCCTTTCCGCTGGGACCACACCCAAACCCTCGGGGAGGAGGTGAAATGAATCCTTCCATACACCCTGGGGCCGCAGGAAGCCCCGGGGACCTGGTTAAGGCGCCCCCGCCCCCCAGAGGCCGCATCTTTCTTGACCTTGGCGTCAGAGGCGAGGGAATTAATTCGTGGAATGAGTTTCATTATGTGGGTTCTGGCTCAGAAGGAGACCTCAGTCAACTCTAAAGAGCATTAATATTTCCAGATAAACTCAAACCCCTTCCTGTCGTCCTCAGGAGCCTCCGGACCTGCACAGCTCAGACCCACCCAACCTGGCCTGACAGCTGCAGGGGCACACGCACCTTGAAGGAGTGGAGTCAGGCAGAGTTCACCTGTGTATCCTGATTGCACCAGCTGGGGCTCCCAGCCAACCAAAGCTGCGGCACCTGTTGATTGAGGTAGTAATTTCTGCACAGGCCTCTGGCCATTTAACCCTTGACAGTCCCTTAAGGAATTTTCAGATCTAATCTGGGGCTCCTAAAAGCTAGGCCCCCCTGAAAGAGTTAGGAGGTGGGAGTGGGAAGTCCACGAACACTTTGAAATTGTACAGAACATTTTGTGTATATGCTTCTGGAAAAGGGTATATAGTTCATATCAGATTCCCAAGGGGATCTATCGCGGGCCCCCAAATCACCAAGAATATTTTCATCGTTTGGGACGCTGGACCCCCTTCCCAGGCTTCTGATTCTGATTCCATCTGCATTTGGCATATACCAAGTGCACCAGATGTAAATCCTCTAATGGTCAATTTTAGGAGTGGTCTTAAAGTAGAAGCAGAGGAAAGCTAAAGGATGAAGCATTTAGTGGGAAAAAAAATAATTTCATGAAACTGATTTCCTGATGAAGATATGAGAAACTCCATTTTTATAAAAACAGTTGCCAAAGAGGTGAGGTGGGGTTTTTTTGGTTTTGTTTTAGGTTCTTCAAATCCTAGCCACACTCCACACTGCATTTAACTAATAATGAAAGAACTGCTTATACTCCCCACTGAAAGGGAGAACCAGTCTATTCATGTCAAAACCACCATGTATAACTTTGTCCTAATACATTAAAATAAAATACATGCCTTGTATTTGTCACCAATCTCCAAAGAACTCCAGGTGTGTGGAAAGTTAATTTAAAGTAATTTTGACAGATTCAAGTATCATAAACCCTTAAAAGAACCACTACATTTATAATCAGGATTGACAGCATTAAGATTTGAAAGTTTATTCCTAAACGAAATGTTTCCGTGGGTCAAGTTGTCACACTTAAAAGTCTACTAAGCTGTGTTTATCTGTTTAAGACATATAAATAGAGCCTGTTACTTACATAATAATATGCTAATCAGAGCATTTCAGATTTAATTTGAACCAGAACTTTAATCCTTGCCCCTTCTGATAATAAAGAAGGGGTTATAAATAAGATGTGACTACATTCTCTGGCTCAGGCTGGCCCACCTGTTAGAGGGATTGGCCAGGTAAACACATTCTGAATTTCCATATGCAAATCCTGGTGATCCTCTCACCCTGTCTTTTCTGTAAGCTAGATTCTCCACCACCCCATCTGGACAAAGTCCTGTATAGTTCTATATATGATGCTGTGCCCACTTTGTGGTTGATTTGTAGTAACAAGTAAACCTGTGTCAGGATCATCATTATCACCCGTCATTATCACACTACATCACTGTTCAGGATCTTGGTCTGTGATACTCTTTACTGAAGGTCACTAGGTGAAGGAGAAGCCCAAAGGCCAGGCCTAAAGCTGATACTGTATGTGGGTTTAACACACGTGTCAGCCTAGAAAAGTGTATCACGGAGAAGCTGGTTCGGACAGGATCACTGGCTCCATTTGGTGTCTCAAAACACACAGAATGGGATAATCCACTTAAAATATGCCCCATTTAAACCATGTTTCATTTACCTACTTTATGGAAAAGTTCATACAGAGGCTAAATGGGGGATCTAATAACCAGATGGCTTACAGATCACTTAGATTCGATGTATCATCTCCCCTAATTTTTATACCAAGGGAGTTACCCTGGTCTCTAGACTTGTAATAGTGAAGCTGGGCATGCCAAGCACTAGGCACCGAGAAAAACCAAGAAATTGCAATCCTGGTTTTTCACCTGGATACGATCCTGGCTCTTGGCTCTTGGCTCTTAGCTGTGGGATCTTGGACAAGTTAATCAACTTCTCCAAGCCTTTTTCTTTATTTAAAAAATGATATTAATGCCCATCTCAAAGGACAGCTGTAAGAAATATATAAAACAACATAGGGAAAACATTAAGCATGACATATGGCCGAGTATGCCATGGTTCTCAATTCATGATTTTTTTTTTCCTTCTGACTTAAACCTAATTATTTTTTTCACTACAGCACACCGTGAAACATTCACATGTATTAGTTAGATTCCTTTCAGTTGCAAGCAATAACATAATTCAAACTAGCTTAAGGAATAGGAACATTTAAGGATTCAGGGGTATCTTGGAGCAGCTCTTCGAATCTGGGATCTCAGGAATAGTCTGAGGCCAGGTAAGGGATGCCACGATGGGAGTTGGGACAGTTTCTCTTGGGGCCACTCTATAAGTGTGTCCCTTGAGAATTGGTTGCTTCTTTTTCTGGCTACACTTGGTTCCCTCTGCTCCATAGACCATGTGGGGCGGGGCGGGGCCACCCACAGTAATAGCTCTGAGCTTTCCCTGATCCAGTCTAGCTAGTCCTCCTCCTTAGAAGACAGGCCTACAGCTGGAACAATCAACAGAGGCTAGCAGGACAAAGTCACCTTGTGGCTGTGGCAGCTGCAAACATGGGAAGAAGCAGTGGGCGGAGGGTGTTGGGCAGACCATCCCATAAGGGTCCCCTATGACCTTTCCATAAACATGAGACATGCTGTTCTGATCAGCAGTTTACAATTAACAGTCTTCTAAGCGGGTACACGCTGATCCAAAAATGTCAACATGATGCTTGGCTAGAGACAAAAAAGGGAGAAGAAATAAAAGGAACTGGTCTGTTTACTTGTGCATTTCCTGTCTGTGACTCCATTAGGCAGAACCTGAAAGTACTCTGCAGTCCTGGTGCTACTGCTCATCACTGGCAGGGTTCTGGAGGCTGGCTGCAGTTGGAGACCAGAGTACGAAAGATATCGAAGAAACATCGAAAACCATTAAAATGTTTTTAGAGCCAGACAAGAAGTCATTAAGATGTCTTGGGAGCTATGGTCCTAGACAAATACAAGAGCAAGCTGGATTTGATTAGGCAATGTAGAGATGGCTAAAGGAAATGAGATGCAGTTTGGGTGGGATTCAGACGTCCCTCTACCCAAAGTGGATGAAGAAGTGAGGTGTGGGTTGTCAGAGCTAAATGACACTTTGCCATGCTGCCATCATTAAGTTGGAGAGTCCAGAAGCACTTTGCATGCTGTGATATACAAATAACACGGTTACCTGCATAGTCCTAGTTCCCCCAAATAAATGAAACCTTGAGCATTTCCATATTCTGCTTCTCAAAAGGAAATGGTCTTTTTTTTTTTTTTTTTTAAAGATTTCATTTATTTGACAGAAAGAGACACAGCAAGAGAGGGAACACAAGCAGGGGGAGTGGGAGAGGGAGAAGCAGGCTCTCTGCTCAGCAGAGATCCCAGGACCCTGGGATCATGACCTGAGCCGAAGGCAGACGCTTAACGACTGAGCCACCCAGGCATCCCAAAAGGAAAATGGTCTTATCCCTTATTTCTGCAATGCCATCGTCAGGTGATACGATGTGACCTTTGTGGTCATAATCAAGTGACAACATTGCTGTATCTCATGATGAACAGCCCATCGTAAACTTGGTAAATTTTCATTCCTTTGTCCATTGTGCACCTGTTGTATTTCTGTTGTTTGGCTAGCCATTCCTTCTGAGGTCGACTCCCTAGCAAACGTTCTTCACAAGTGTACTTCTCTTTCATAAGATTCTTTGGTTTCCAAGTCCTTTTTCTACAGGGTATAACCAGAACCCAGGAGGCCGATTATAAAACCAATCCCATTGCTTATTGTCAGAGGTTACAAAAGGGGCTCAAGGAGGCATCTGAAGGGTCACCTTGGGCTGTAGCTCCGAGGGGAGCAGGAATAGGTCTGGGAGAAGGTATCTGCATGTGTCAGAGCAAAGAGATGGTCTGGACAAAGTTGCCCATGCAGGAACAATTTGAAAGAAGGGGCATGGCAACTTTGCAAACCTTCTGGGAACACAGATCGCAAAACCCAAGTGAAAACCACAGTGTGGAAGAAATCATACCCCGTTGAAAAAAAGGACATTTTCCCTGAGTCTTTCAAGCCATAAGAACCAATGAAAATGTGCTCAAATGTAATGAAACAGAATGTGACACAAAGTAGGATTGCAGAACTATGGAAACAGGATAAATCATGTCCTTACAGAGTTAACAACCTAGAATCAGCAAGGGATGGCTGGAATATGGCTGGAACCTGCTCCGTAGCCTGAGAACTCTTGCTAGACCGGTGGTTCTTAAACTGCTGTCCCAGCACCAGCAGCACCTGGGAACTTGTCAGAAATGCACATGATGGGGCCCCAACTCTGGGCAATGTTTTAACATACGCTCCAGGTAATCCTGATGCCCTCAGACACTGTAGAACCACTGGACCAGGTTCTTCGCCCTTTCAGGCTAGAGTTTGGACATAGCAAAATCGCTCAGCCTAATTCTAGAACAAGTCACTTTCTCCCAGGGAGATTGTAATCGACATTTCCCAAGGACAGAAACAGAAGCAGACTACAGCACCAGAATTCATTCACTCATTCCACATTTATTAAGCATTAAGCACCAAAGCAGACATTCACCAGTTTTGGACGACTTTGTCATGGACTAGCTGGCCATGAGGCTTGGTAGCATCTGGAGGCAGCAGGGCCAAGTAGACAGGGGTCTCGGCTCCCTCCTCCACAGTCCTGGGACCATGAGCCCCACCCATGTCCGTCTTCACCCACCCTGGGCAGCATGCGTTCAGCAGAATCCTGTCAGCTTTTCTCTTCTCATCCAGACGCCGGGCCAAGATTCTTGATAAGACTGTGACCCCCAGCTTGGACACCCCATAAGCTGAGTTGGGCCAGCCTTCCTTCTCATGCACTTCATTGTTTGTATCCTCCACAAACTTCTTCATGAGGTCCACCAGGTCCTCCTCCATAAGCATCTCACATCGGAACTTCTTCTGTAGATCTGCACTGCAATTTTCAAGAGCCTTTGAACCCTCTAAACTACTGATATTCACCACCCTGCCTGAAACAGAATAGTAAAAACACGGAAGCATGTCACAAATAAACAATGGTTGGTTGACTCTACCCAACATGCAATTTGATTCATACTGCAGGCTTAACCGCTGATTTTTAAAAAATGACTCTAGAAGGCACCAGTAGGTTTTAACATTATATTGTGCTCTCTTCCCCCAAAGGGAATGATGCATTCCCATCAGCAACAGGGGCTAAAAGCAGTGATTATTCATTATGTGAGCAGGAGGTAGGTCTGGAGTGGAATCACCAGGTGCTTTTATAAAAGCATCCCCCTGCACCCATGAACACTCCAGGTGCCTGTGAACTTACTCTCCTAGAGACAGCACCCTCACCCTGAGGATTAAATCTCTTTCTTGGCTTGCACAATTTCCTAGGGCCACGGGCAACCACCTCTTTATCTCTGAGTACCAAAAATCAGGGTCAAGCAATGCCGTGTCTATCCTTGATGATGGCTACTTTCACACATGGAGTGGGTTGATTCTTCACCCAGTTTTGATTTTCATCATTTTTTTAGCCCATAGCTAAAAAGTAAGTATAATGTAATTAATGAGTTAGTAGTCATATTAACAATAATTCACAGCTACTAAAGAGACAGTTTTGTCTATAAAAAAATATGCAGGCCCAAAACTATAAGACAATTTGAAGTATTGATGGAAATCCCCAAACCAGTAAATGTGTGAATTTATACAGTTCACCCAACATCAAAAACCACCATATTGGGGGGTTCTTTTCTTACGTATTATCCTGAATCCACTTCCCGTGCATCCAATAGGATAATCGTTTTTTTGTTTTGTTTTGTTTTTTAAGTAGGCTCCATGCCTACTTATGGAGCATGGAGCCCAACATGGGGCTTGATTGAACTCACGACCCTGAGATCAAGACCAAGACCTGAGCTGAGATCAAGAGTCGGACACTTAACCAACAGAGCGACCCAGGTGCACCGGGATAATTGGATTTTATTGCATTTTTTGAGTGGCATTCATTCACCATGGAGATGGGGCGGGAGTTGGGGGTGGGGTGGGGAGGGTGTTGCACATTCTACTAGATATCTTTGTCGACCAACCCCACACAGATGCCCTCACTTTGTCTTGAACACAAGCACCTCACTTATCTCCAGGTACTTAAGACTCTTCAGTAATTTTCTCCCTCTCTTGTAATACATATTTCTTTCTTTCTCAAAATCTTAACTGTGAGAAATTGAAACCTATAGAGAAGTTTGCAAGAATAGTTCAATCAACACCCATATACCTTTCACCTAAGTTCCTCAATTATTAACATTTTGCCACATTTGCTTTCTCTTTCTCTTAATTGCAGACAAATATAAAACTTTGCCCTAAACATGTTAGTATATATATGATAACAAGGGTATTACTTTATATAACCACAAGAGTGCTCACACTCAAGCCCTTTATCATGGTACAAAACTATTACCTGAAGTACAGTTCACATTCAAAGGACTCCAATTATCTCAATAATCTTCCTTTATAGGTCTGTTTTCATCCAGGCTCCCATGCGGGATCATGGATTACATTTAGTGGTCTTGTCTCTTTAGTCTATTTTTTTAAAGATATTATTTATTTGTCTGAGAGAGAGCACAAGCAGGGGGAGCAGCAGGCAGAGGGAGAAGCAGGCTCCCCGCTGAGCAGGGAGCCCAATGCTGGACTCAATTCTGGAACCCAGGGATCATGATCTGAGCTGAAGGCGGACACTCAACCAACTGAGCCACCCAGGCATCCCTAGTATATATATATATTTTTAAAGATTTATTTATTTATTTTTAGAGAAGGGGGCAGGGGGAGGGGCAGAGGGAAAGGGAGAGAATCCCAAGCAAACTCCATGCTGAGCAGGGAGTCCGATGTGGGGCTTGATCCCATGACCCTGAGATCAGGACCTGAGCCGAGACCAAGAGACAGATACTTAACTGACTGAGCCACCCAGGCGCCCCTCTCTTTAGTCTATTTTAATCTAGAATAGTTAACAATGATCTTTTTGAAGACTCTAGGCCATTATTTTGTAGTATTTGTCCCAACTTGGATTAGCATGATTTTTATGAAAGATTTTATTTATTTCTCAGAGAGAGAGAGCAAGCACAAGCAGGGGGAGTGGCAGGCAGAGGGAGAAGCAGGCTCCCTGCTGGGCAGGGAGCCCGACGTGGGACTCGATTCCAGGACCCTGGGATCATGACCTGAGCCGGAGGCAGAGGCTTAACCAACTGAGCCACCCAGGCATCCCAGGTATGATTATCTTATAATTAGATTCACTTCAATAGTTTGGCCAGACTACAACTACTTTGATGACATTGTGTTCTTCATTACTTTCTAAACGGCTTTGTTCTTAATCACTTGGCTGCTAGGAGGAATTAAATTCAAAAGGGAAAGGAGGAAAGAAAAACGAATACAGGAGTTACTCTGTGCCTTTGGTGGAAATTAAAAACTTCTAAGAGTAAGAGGTGTCCTCTTTGATCTCAGGGGACACCTCTGGGAGAAAGGCCAAGGGGTGACCTTCTCAACAGCCAGATGGGTCCAGTCATCCCTGAGAAGGGCTGCACCCACACCACCCACACCTCCCTTTGCTGAGGTCCTGGGGGACCCAGGATCCGGAAACAAGCCCTACCCCATTCTTAGAAATAGTGTGCAAGTAGCTCCGCCTAGTGGGCAAACATTTGATTAACCTATTCACTCAATCTTAAATGAATAAGCAAGAGGGATAACTTTCTATAAAGAGATTAATTTTAACACTAAATAAAATGTGGCCCCAAATATGGTGGTTTTTGATGTTGGATGAACTGCATAAATTCACACATTTACTAGTTTGGGGATTTCCATCAGTACTTCAAATTGTCTTATAGTTTCGGGCCTGCATATTTTTTTATAGACAAAAAGGTCTCTTTAGTAGCTGTGAATTATTGTTAATATGAATATTAATTCATTTTGTTTGGGGAGAAAGTGATTCCCTACAAATCAAGAGGCAATAATCCTCAGCTTTTTACCCTCCAAGTAAATATGAGTTTTACCAAAAAATCACAAATATTCTGTGTGTTGTAAACCAGATTCTCACTTTGGGAATTACTGTTACAGAGAACTGGTTAAAGCCAGTGATTCACCTGCTCTGGGTTGTTGCCGGAGCCCCACCCTCCCCAAAGCCACCTTTTATCTTTCAAAACGGCTTGGTTTTTAATCATTTGGCATTATGATCCTTCCCTTCACTGGAATGAATTATCCTGATTTGATTGAGGGGTTAAGTCAGGAAACCTGAACACTGTTGCCAGCTCTATTACTACCTGTCTGTGTTCACATCTTTGGGTCTCAGTTTCCTTCTCTGTAAAATGAAGACCTAGGAATGTAAGGTTTCTTTAATACCTTGCAGCTTTCAAATTCTAGGCTTCTAAAGCCCACAGAGAGAGGACTTCCGGATACTTGGTAAAAGGCACCCTTGCAATAAAAGACTATGCAGCTGTAAAAAGTAAGAAAGCTTTCTGTCCTAATCTAGAAAGAGTCCCAGATATAGTAAGTGAAGAAAGCAAAGTGGCAAACTAATGTTCCCTTTGTGTAAAAAAGGGAGCAAAAGAAATATGCATTTAGATTTGGATTAAAAAACTCCATCCTGAGGGCACGCCTGGGTGGCTCAGTCGGTTAAGTGTCCAACTCTTGACCTCAGCTCAGGTCTTAATCTCACGATGGTGAGTTCAAGCCCCCTGTTGGGTTCCATGCCGGGCATGGAGCCTAGTTAGAACAGAACAAAACAAATCTCCATCCCCTTGGCCCTGGGCACTCACCAAATCCACGCACCCGGACCCAAGGCTTTCTTCAGCCAGTACCTGCAACTCTGCCTCTTTCTGTGAGCTAATCCCACGAGGAAAGGATAAAGGGAATTGCCTGTAGGGGGTGGGGACAGGAACTGAGCAAGCGGGGGGGGGGGGGGGGGGGGGGGGGCAGGAGTCCGGGTGCAACTCTCACCATGCATCTTTTTAGATTTTAAATGTTTGCACTAGAGATCATCTTCATTCAAAATGTTAATTTGAGAAAAGCACATTTTTATTATGTAGTTATTTTAATTAAAAATGCATGCATAACAGGAAAAGGAAAGCAATTCTAGACACTGCTCCTTCTAGTTTAGTTTGACTGGTTGAGATTTGGAAGCTTTTTAATGTATTATTTGTTTCCGGCGTACAGGTTTGTGATTCATCAGTCATATAATACTCAGTGCTCATTACAACACATACCCTCTCCAGTGTCCATCCCCCAGCCACCCCATCCCTCCCACCCCCCTCCACTCCAGCAACCCTCAGTTTGTTTCCTGAGATTAAGAGTCTCTTACAGTTTGTCTCCCTCTCTGGTTTCATCTTGTTTCATTTTTTCCTCTCTTCCCTTATGATCCTCTGCCTTGTTTCTTAAATTCCACATATCAGTGAGATCATATGATAAATGTCTGAGAAAAGCACATTTCTAATAACCACAGAGTTATTCTTCCTAAGAATCAAAGCTGCCTTTCTGGGGGAAAAGAGTCTTTTCTGCCTCCCTCCTTCCCAGCACAGTTGTATGATTCTTCATCAATGACAGTCTTCTCCATTAGACTCAATGCTCTGTGGTCAGGGATTGTCCCTGTCCACTGTGCTTACCACTGTGTCCCCAACACCTGGGTTATGGTAGGCCCGCCAGTATTTGTGGAAAAAGTAATAAAAGTTATTTATTGAATACTTGGGAGTGCAGGTAAGATACTCCCTAATAAAGAAAAATTTCTTTGGGAGGTTCTGCATCAGCTTGAAGACAGGAACATGGGGAAAGTTATAAAAATGCTAAAACAGATCCTTCCCTCAGGCCCCCAAATGAGCTGGGTGTGGCCCCACTACCCTGGGGAGCTGAGAAGGACCCACCGAGATTGCTCAGAGGCAAGAGGACTTTGGGGACTTGTAACACCTTATCACTCTAGGGTTGAGTTCATGACATGGGACTGAAGGGCATTGCCATGTACCATACATATCTTTTAAAGCTAAGATGTGCAGGTGAGGAGCCAGCTATTGTGAGAAAATAGTGCAGTTTTCTGTCCCCCCCCCCCCCGGGGAAATGGCATCCCTAGGTCACTCCTGAGGCCCACTTCCTGCTGAGGGATGCAACCTGACAATCCACATGGCTGGACTTACCATGAGGTTTTATTATTGGCAGCAACTCGATGCAGACATTTCTTGTGCCAAAAAAGTTTGTCTTTAGTGTTATCTCAGCTTGAATGTCAAAGGGCGTTGGATCATCACCTTCCGAAAAGAGAAGGAAACAAAGTCACGCATTTCCCCCTGAAATTATATGACAAAGCGCATCTTACCTCTAATCAAAGGAAAAACAAGCTAACTTTAAAACGATTTTTAAACCCCATAGGTCGGTGGTTCTCAAAACTTCAAGCGTGTATCTGAATCACCTGCAGGGCCTGTTAAAACACAGCGTTCTGGGCTCCGCCCCCAGAGTTTGGGACTGAGAAGGTCTGGGGTGAGGCTCCAGAATTTGCATTTCTAACGCGTTCCCAGGTGGACGCTGCAGCTACTGGTCTGGCCCCACTGAGAAATCCCGGCTTTCACGGCTGCTCCTCAATCCTGAACGGGTTTGGGACGCAGCTGGGGATTCTGTTAAAACGCAAATTCTGATTCAGCAGGTGTGGCATGAGGCCTTAGCTACAGGTGCAGCTGGTCCACCTCCCACACTGTTGAGGGGGCGGGGGCTTCCAGCCGACTTGTGTTCCGGGAAGCGGAGTACCTATTCGTCAGTCGTCAATCAGCCGCTGAGGAGTGCTCCAGCGGGTGCCGGCCGCTTTCCGCCTGCGCTGCCAGAAAGCCCGCAGGCTGATTTGGAGGTGCGGATGCACA